CAAAAGTTTGAAAAGTTCAAGGGGGCCGAATACTTTTGCAAGGCACTGTATTTTCTTTGTTGATCTTTGATGTTTTCTTCGTTTATACATCTCTCAGGAATACATTTGTAACATTCTAAGCAAGTACAGTTCATTATAATGAACAAAACACTGATTTCTGTGTTTATTGGTAAGAATGAACAAAAACGAGCATGATTTTCATATTTTACATAAAAATGTAAATTTTCTGGCTGAAGTTTTTTTGACTTTTTGTCAATGTAAATTTTAAACGTATTTTACTTGGAATTTAATTTCCCTGTTGTTTGCTGTTAGACATGTACTCTTCCACTGTGCGCCTGCACACTAAGCTTGTTTTTTTATTTTTATTTTCTTTTTGTTTTGTTTTTGTTTTGTTTTCCTCGTGTACTTGTGTTACCTGCAGGATTAGGTCATCAGTGTGGAAGTAGGAGCAAGTCTGAATTTTACTATACTTTAAATGGCAGCTCTCTTGACCCCCCTGCCCAGCCCAAATCCAAAAGCACATGGTACATTGATGAAGGTAAAACTCATGGGATGTCAGTCATTTTATTGGCAAGCTCCTGTTAAAAACAAGCCACATACTGATCGGTTTGAATAAGGCACACTCAAAGTCGTAGCTCTTCTTCCACTGAACATTTAATTACTTAGTTTTTACGAGATATATTCATTCTGGTACTGTGGAGTCTTTTTGATTGTCCTTTAGTGTACGCTGGTGAAGATTCTCAGTCATCCAGGACATGGTAAATAAAAAAAAAGTTCAAGGCAAAAACAACTGAACTTTATTTGCAACAGAAGACGGTTCTCTTTTCGTCTGAGGAGCTTTCTCAATCAAAGAACAGGGAGTGTGGGTTTCGAGTTGTAAAGCTGAGCTAAGCTAGATACATATGCAGATTGCCCTTTCAGTCCTCACAAGAGGGGTTCGTTAAGGTCTTTGTTATTCTGATTCACGGAGTATGGAGGATGGAATGTGACAAAATGAAATAAATAAATAATAATAATGAAATTTATCATTTAAATATTAAATAATTCATTAAATATACAATTAAATGTACAATTAAATTATTAACTACACACTTGAATTATTTATTTCATGATTTATTCATTTACTTAATTTTTTCACATTCCACCCTCGTGTGTCACCATGAAATGATGTAGTCAGTCTCACTCGTCAAACTCAGTGGGTGGGACTAATTCTGCCTCAGAGAGCTTCTTCGTTTAAATTTGCTGCTTCTCGTAAAAGTCCGTTGTCTTCTTTACATTCATGGTATGAAAAAATGTTTCATCCAAATGCACGTAAACACAATTACTGCTTCCTAAAGTTTTGGAATATATTTTCTGGCCTGTGGATCAATCGGTTATCTGCGGTTGATTTGTCTTCGCTTGCTGTGAGGTAAGCCAATCAGGCGTCAGGGTATGTTCACGAGCCACCCTAGTCCCGCCCACTGAGTTTGACGAGTGAGACTGACGGTTAACATCATTTCACTGTGACACACGAGGGTGGAAGGTGACAAAATGAAATGAATAAATAAATAAATCATGAAATAAATAATTTAAAAGGTACATTTAATTATTTAATGGTGTATTTAATTGTATATTTAATGATTCATTGATGTATTTTATTAACATTTATTTAAACAGGCAAATCCCACTGAGATCACAGATCTCTTTTGCAAGGGAGGCCTGGGTCTGAAGGCAGACTAACATGCATGGTTTTGGTCTGTGGGAGGAAACTGGAGTACCCGGAGAAAACCCACGCAAGCACGAGAAGATCATGCAAACTCCACACAGAAAGACCCCAGGTCCAACCAGGGATTGAACCCAGGACCTTCTTGCTGTGAGGCAACAGTGTTAACCACTGAGCCGTCGTGCTGTATTTAATAATTAAATGATACATTTAATTGTTAAACTGGGTATCAGTCCTAAAGCTGCATTGTAAGCTCTTGAAAGTTGAAATCTGAGACCTCCTCTTCTGTTCAAAGATAATTAATGTAGCACAAAGTTAGGGATGCACGATCCAATTTTTTCACTTCCGATACCGATAGCTGAGGTTTCGTATCGGCCGGTACTGATACCGATCAGATGCCGATATGATACAGAAAAAACGTGCCGACTTAAAACATTTTTTTTTTTTTTAACATAGACATAAATGTACTGAATTACAAATTTATTGAACACTCTGCACCAGTACGGCACACTTAAAAACACCAGTAGCTTCACAAGCTTGGTCCAACATGTAAAAACAACACAACTTTAATTTGTTCAGCCAGTGCAATTATGAGTAACATCACATGTAAAATAAATAAAAATAAAGATACTGAAACTGACAAAAACAATAGGTTGACAACTTTGGTCAAACATGAAAAAAATAAACTTCAACAAACCTTTCAAATGGTTCAGGATTTCTAAATGTAATGTAAAATAAATAATAAAGGAGCTGAAATACAAGGAAAAAACAATAGCTTCACTAGCTTGGTTGGCAAATATTTAAAATAAACCGTGATCAACTCCTGTCCTTATGGATCGGTCACATTGTCACGATGCCCAAGCTAGAATTTTTTCAATATCGGTATCGATACTAATATTGAATCAGTGCATCTCTACACACAGTATGGCATCAGTTATTTTTGTATTTGTATTGGCTGGAAATCAGTGTCCATTTTCACATTTCACTCACAAAAATGCCAATTCAAAATATGCAGACGTTGACTGGTTGCATCTTAATGTTTGTAGGAAAGATGAAGTTTGAGGAGATTGCTTAGATATTGACTCAGTCCTTGTCTTGCTGACACATGTTTAGTACAGGAACTGTATTTGCCGTTTGAGGTGGATGACTAAAACGCTTTAAATAACAGTACCAGAATGGATCCTGAAGTCAAATCAGGACAAAACCTAGTTGTAGTTTTTCCGACTCTTCTGAACTTGGATTGATGCTTTTCTTGCTAGTCTACAGCACATTTACTGTAGCTAAAACACATTTAACAGAATAACTCATTTAGGTGTTCTAGGACCTGTAGAAACTTAAACAAATGTGTGCCTTTGACATTTGTCCCATAATAGAAACCCAGTAAGTAGTTTGTTGCAGTAGCTTGCTATATAAACTTTCCACTCGTCCTTCATCATCATTTTAGAGTTATTTTTCCCGGCATGAAGTAATGGATGTTGTAGAAGGCTTTTCTGTAATGATCAGTGCCACAAATGATTGATTTACCTCTTACTTATTTTTTGCCACTCGGCACATCATCTTGTGTTTGTGTCGTGGTGATTTTGGGACACAAAGTTGGATGATTTTGTTGTTTAAGTGATTTTAGTGGGCATGTCGTCACCAGTTGTGAAGCAGCTTTTTAAAGATTATGATTGTTGAATATTTAGGTACCATATTGTTTATCAAACAAAAGTGTCTTTTTGGATTTTGGAGACAAAATTGTCTGAATAACATATGTCACTTTTAAAACTTTGAACAAAATCATTATGTACTGTACAAATTAATGTGAAATTTCCTTTTTGTTGTAAAAAATTGATAAAAAACAAGATTCTGCAACATATGTCAGTTCTTAATTTATGTTATCCTGCTTACATAATGCAAAAATTAGGCATGCTGTCGTGCTGTTTTCACAACTGCTCACTCATTCTGTCAATGTTTTTTTGTTTTCATCTTATTCAGGCTCACTTTTTACATTCTGGGCTTTTATTCTTTATGGTTTTGGTGCTTAACCACTGGGTACACATTTTCATATTTTTAACAATTTAAGGAATGTATGTAGATCTTTTTTTTTTTCCCTAAACTTGAATTGTGACTATCTAAAAATATTTTAGTACCTTCTACAAAGGAGAGAGAGGTTGTGTGATTTCAGTCATGCCAAGTCAGTCACACAAACCTAACACCACAGAACCTGTTTGGGACGGGCTTGGCTGTAGAGTTGAAACTATGCAGACAGAAAAGTAAAGCTGCTGCAGAGAGAGAGAGAGAGATTACAGCAGTCAGATCATGAAAATCAAGTACAGTAGTCCCTCGTTTATCGGGGGGGGGG